ATGTTCAAGCTGAGAAAAAGTGTGTTCCAGATGCCAGCTGACTCTGTTCTCCAACAGTTTGAAACAGACTTAGCCTTGGGGTTTCAAGGTTAGGATGAAGGTTGTCATGGCAGGATGGGGCCTGGCGTGAGGCAACAGCAAGCAGAGTGAGGACATGACAGTGGCAATGTGTGTAGACACAGGACATCAGCTTCAAATGCTGTCACAGCAGGGATGTTTGCACACAGCTCTGATATGGGCCACCCCAAATCTCACTACACATACAACTCGCCAGTCCAAGCCCAGGCACATCCAGAGAAGGTGGGAGCTTTTCAGGTTGACTCCACTGAGGAAAACAGGCATTTCAATTTCTGCTCCACAATAGAGCAACTTAAAAAAAAAAGTTATTTTCAAAAACAACTTAAAAAAAATTATGTCCAAGAAATTCCAAGGAGAGGGGAAAGACATTACTTTCTGTGGATTAGGTGAGGGTTTCTTGACTTTTTTTCTTTTGTCTTTTACGGTCAAGTTTGTCTGCTCACTCCTCCTTCCCATTTTCCTAAGGATTGAAAAGATCACAGAAGGGTGGTGCCTGTGGCTCAGTGAGTGGGGCACCAGTCCCATGTACCAAGGTGGTGGGTTCAAACCCAGTCCCAGCCAGACTGCAATCAAAAATCAATGTGCCAGGCACCTGTAGTCCCAGCTAATTGGGAGGCTGAGGCAAGAGAATCGTCTAAGCCCAAGATCTGAGCTTGCTGTGAGCTGAGATGACACAGCACTCTATGGAGGGTGACAAAGTGAGGCTGTCTCTAAAAAAAAAAAAGAAAAGATCAGAGAAAATAAAACAAATCATCTTTCAATAGTCTCTTCTGGTATGAGTACCATCTCTTTGGGCCGGGGAGTAAAGGGTGTGGGGAGAGGCTAAAACCTTCCTTCAACCCCTACTTTTAGATCTTATGGTTTTTCCTAGAAGATGGCAGAAGAGTATGGTGGGGACAGCAGGGAGAGAACTCAGCGATGACAAATGCAGTGATGACAAAGTCTAGATGACCAAGGGCCTAGTGGCCTTGGGGCAGGTACTCCTGGAGTCTCCTGTGGGACAATGCTGGGCACTGGGGCCTACAGGGCATGCTTGGGAGCTGTGTAGTTTGCTTGATGGGGAGTAGGAGGAGATGGTGGGTGGGAACCCAGGTTGTGGCCTACCAGCTGCAGGCAGGGCTGCAGAGTGATTTTTAAGACTTGATCTATCCTGCTTTCTTTAGAGAAAGACCCAAGTACCAGTGGTCTTCAACTTTTTTACTTGTATTCTTCCTAAAGGAATTATGATGGGCCAGACGAGGTGGCTCATGCCTATAATCCTTGTACTCTGGGAGGCAGAGGTGGGTGGATTGCTTGAGCTCAGGAGTTTGAGTCCAGCCTAAGCAAGAGCGAGAACCTGTCTGCTAAAAATAGAAAAATTGGCTCAGCACTGGTAGCACAATATTAATGGCGCCAGTCACATACACCAAGGCTGGAGGGTCTGAACTCAGCCCAGGCCAGCTAAAACAACAATAACAACTGCAACAAAAAGTAGCCAGGTGTTGTGGTGGGTGCCGAGAGGCGAGAGAATCACTTCAGCCCCAGCAAGAGTTAGAGGTTTCTGTGAGCTGTGACACCATAGCCCTCTACCGAGGGTGACATAGTGAGACTCTGTTTCAAAAAGTAAGTAAACAGGGCGGTGTCTGTGGCTCAAAGGAGTAGGGTGCTGGCCCCATATGCCAGAGGTGGTGGGTTCAAACCCAGCCCCAACCAAAAACTGCAGAAAATAAATTAAATAAATAATTTTAAAAATAGAAAAATAAGCCAGGTATAGTGGCATGTGTACCTAGAGTCCCAGCTTCTTGAGAGGCTGGGGCAAGAGGATCACTTGAGCCCCCGAGTTCGAGGTTGCTGTGAGCTAGGACGCCATGGCACTATAACCTGGGGAAACAGGGTGAGACTCTGTATCCAACAATAAGAAAGAAAGAAAGATATAGTATGTACCTTCTCATATATTAAGTTGAGTTTTAGAATTCTCTACAAGTTTCTAGACTAGAAAAATAGATAATGTTTAGCATCTTACAAATACTTATGTTTTTCAGTGAAACAATTATTTCATTCTTACATATGTATCCACTGGCATTTAAATATCAAAGAAGTGTCTTTTATGGATCTTAAAGCTAACTGATTTTTTTAAAAAGAAGGTGTTTTTTACACACACCAGCATCCATTGAAAGTGACATACCAAAATTTCAGTTTAAAAGTCAGAGCTTTACATTGTTTCTTTTCATTTCTTGAATCTCACTTCCTATTTTACTTTCCCTACAGAATTTTACCTTAATGCATTATCATAATGATTTATAGCTTTTATAAAAAGATATAAACATAACATTTTGATTGGGCAGCTCCTTTATTCATTGTCCTTATGTGTCTTTACAAGAAAATATTTATAGCTATTGAAATTAAAATTTTTTTCTTGTGACTATGAAGCTTTACGCATTCAGAGTTTTCTTCTGCACTGAGATCCAATTCCATTAACAGCATCTACTTCATCAAAATCTAAAATATTATAAGTATCAATAATAAGCATAAAAGATAAAAATTTACTGGAAACACATCTCTTAATGAGATGGATAGGGACCTCTTTTTCAATTGTTCATGAATCTGAGGATGCATGTGACATGGTCGGAACAACTCTATATGATAGAATTCAACACCAATTTTATTTCTAGTTTGTTTTTTTTTTTTGAGCTAGAAGGGCTAAAGAATCTTGTTCATATGAGTAAGTCAGTGGGAGTGGAAGCAGTTTTGTTATAGCAATGTCATTTCATTCTTTGAATGACAAGATTTATATGCTAAAACCTATTTATTTTTTCATTATCAGCTGTTAACTCTGTTAGGATTTCCTTCAATTTTGTTGAAGGGAGCAAATTTGATCCTTCATATCTGCAAAAGGATTTGGTAGGCCTGACAGTTCCCTCAGGTGTCAGTGTTTCTGATTACTTTTGTTCAGCACTATGGAGATTTTTACTCTCCAGGTAATGGACTGTATTCGTGGCTGGTGAGACATAGGCTCTTTATGAAGTAGGAAAAAGCAATAGTAAAAGAGGAAGTATATTAGGGGAATCCCCAAGAACCTTGCCTGGCAAGCACATTCCAGCTTATCAATTTTGGGAAGGGGTACTTGGGGAAAGTGAGGATCTAGAAACTCATTTCCTGAAACTGCCTGTGCCCAGATATCCCTTAGAAAGTCTCTGTGACTTACACACACACACACACACACACACACACACACACACGCCAGTTTGATGACTTTAAGGAACAAGTCTATTCCTTCCCTCTGAGAAATCCCTGGTCTAGAAGATGGAAATAGAGTGACTCCCCAGGAATGGAGGCAGTCCTCAGCCTGAGAGAAAGAGAGGGATGACTGGCCCCCAGTACAACATTCAGAGACACAGATCAATAAACACAAGGGTGGTGATTTAGGGGTGCAGATAGGTGAGGCTCTTGAGAATGCATAGCCTTCTTTCCTTATATTAATTGAACTCAGACTAACTTCAGTTTTCTAGAGTTTCACCCAGCTGATGCTTGGATAGAGGAAATGCAACAAAGAAACAAAACAGTTGCATTTAAGCTAATAGCTTTTCTTGTGGTTTCTCAATTATGGTTTCATTTCATTGATGGTTGAGGTGTGAGGAGGTCATTGTCCCTGTAACAACTGAGGATCTTTTAACCTGCTCTCTAGATGTTTACCATATGTCAGGCGCCATACTGAGTTCTTTATGTTCAACATCTCTCTTAGCATTTACAATAATCCTATGTGGTAGGCCCTCCTTTCACCAGTAAAAGCATGAGGTGAGGAACAGTGAAATCACCTGCCCAAGGACCCAGAAGAAAACATTTCCTCTTGTGTCCAGTCCTAGTTTGTCCTTCTTTGTAGCGGATTATAAAGCTGCACCATTGCTGCCAGGGTTAACCGTCTTTGGGAGCCAAAATCCCCACCCTCTAGAAGGCAATACAGACCATGTCAGCCCTTAGGAGTGGAACAAGGAGGGGCCAGAGAAATACTTGTCTAGTTTGACTCAGAACACTGAATGGAACCTGGGAAATATAAGCCAGCAAACACGCTAAATTGATTCTTTTACGGTTGTTATATGATCTTTCCCAGAACGAACAAGAATGTGAAGATTCTCTTCAGATTTTGGTTCTCAGCTTGTGTTGGGGTGGAGAGAGCCCTGGATCCAGAGGAGTGGGAACAGCTATTGACTCGAAGGGCTCTCTGCAGCTACCCCCTTCACTTCTCTGACTTCCGCTACTTAATCTGCTAGAGAGAGGGCTTGGGTTTGAGCAGAGTTTCCCAACTTTTTAACTTTTTATGAACCAGATAAGAAATCAAATTTTATACCATGACCCAATAGACAGACAGACAGATACACACACCCCTCTGGAACAAGATTTTTACCAAACAACACACTCAGCCCTTCTGGGTGATATCCTCTGATCTATTCTATTTATTTCATTTTAGTCATTCGTGTGTGTGTGTGTGTGTGTGAGCATCCATCTGGTTGCTCCTCATTAAATTGATATTTTAATACATTTTAATGGCAGGCAAACCATGTTTTAAAAAACTGTGGACTAGAGAAATAAACTACTGGAAAGGGTAGCTTAATATCAAGTCAGAGACGTTCTAGGGGAAAATCTGGACTGAGGCAAAGCTTATCTTTAGCACCTTCTTACCTTTCAGGGACTCATTTTTTTTTTCTTACCTTCCTCTAGCCTTATTTTATTCCTATAGCTCCTACCCCTATTTACTTTAACTTCAATTGATTTATAGTCAGATGTCAAAAAGGTGCTTTTGTTTTGTGTGAAATAGGTCTACCTCCTTAGAATCAACCTTCTGCCTTTTGCTCCAGGGACTTGTGGTGAATTTCTGTTCCTGCAGCTAACGCAGGTTCTCTTTAGGAGAGATGCCTCTGTGGATTCTTGTTGTGGAAACCACTCACCTCTGACTTTCAGAGTCAGGTACTTGTAGTCCCAGGCAACCCCACAGATGATCAGGCAGCGGTACTGCCCTGCATCCCTCACTTGGACGTGAGGGATGTGGAATAGGGCCTTCCCCAGGGACAGCTGCTCCTCCAGCAAAGTGGCTCTTTTAGCAGGCAAGGCTGTATCGTTTTCTACCTTTTGCAAAATGGCTTTTATTTCTTCAAGTTTCACTTGGCCTCCAGTGTCAAAATCACACTCCAGGGTCACATTGCTGCCATAGTCTACTATGTACAGCTCCTTAGGGACGGTCACTGTGAATAAAGCTGAAAAGAAAATAAGACATTTTGTCACAGCCTGTCTTTACTTTACATTCCAATTCTTACAAAGTGGAAGCTGAGACTCAGCCCCCCATTTTCCAGGAGATGACTCTCATGATCTGGGCATTCCCTTGGGGTCTTTTCTCTCCTTTGCTCCATCCACCTGGGCAGGAGTGAAATTCTTTATATTTTTATTTTTATTTTTAGAGAGAGAGTCTTACTGTGTCACCCTCGGTAGAGTGCTATGGCATTGCAGCTCACAGCAACCTCCAGCTCTTGGGCCTAGGTGATTCTCTTGCCTCAGCCTCCCGAGTAGCTGGGACTACAGGTCCCCGCCATGATGTCTGGCTATTTTTTGTTGCAGTTTGGCCAGGGCCAGGTTTGAACTCGCCACCCTTGGTATATGGGGCCGGCACCCCACTCACTGAGCCACAGACGCTGCCCCCAGGAGTGAAACTCTTGACCCACTGCTCTGAGATAGTTCTCTCCTCTACAGACTCCCAGCTGAGCAGCTGATTGCCTTCCTGTGCCTTCTCAGGCAGCCTGGCAAGAGCTGCTGGTGGACAGGTACTGCATGCTCTTGGTGGCCTCTCCTACCCTCTCCCTGGGAGCCCTCAAGTCATTCAGGTCTCCCCTCACATGACAACAAAATGTCTCCTAAGACTCCCCTTCCAGCAAGGTCTGAGCTCCTTTTACTTAGTTGCCTTCACATCCTATTACATAGGTTCAATGTCTCTAGTCTATATGGACCAGTTTGTATCTTTCCTTGCCAAATATCACTTCCTCTCACCAGTGACAGTAACAACAGCATATATCATTTGTTGAGTTCTTACTATGTGTTAAACAATCTGCTAACAGGTAATCTCATTTAGTCTTCCCAGGAAGCCAGTGAGGTCAGCAATACTGCTATCCTCTTTTTAAAAAAAGAAACCAAGGCATAGAAAGTTTAAGCAACTTTCCCAAGATTGCATAGCCAGGATCAGATCAAGTATTTTTAAGTGCCAAATGTTCTATCACATCATACAAGCCCCCAGTGATGTCAAATAAAGGGAAAGGATATTTAATGTACACCTACTATGTGTCAAGCCAGCCACTGTGCTAACCACTTTATATCATTTAATACTGAAAATATGACCATGAAATATGCACTATCAGTATGGTTTTGTAGTTAAGGAAACTGGTTCAAAGAAGTTCACTTCAGGACACGCAGTTAGTAAACTTAAAATTCACAGTCAGCCAGATGTTTGATTTCAAAATCTGTAGTTTCCACTCACAAAGTATTTTTCAAACTTTGTACTGTGAGGCACACACCACCAGAAGTATGTAAGATGATTTTAAATGGAGAAGAATCAAGACCTAAAGGAAGTACAATTATTCAGAGGGGAATTTATTGCCTTGTAATTCTATTTCAATCCCTCTTTTACATATAATTTGCAACTCTCACATCTGGCTATTTTTCTTTTTAATAAAACAGGAAGCTTACCAGGTAAGTAATAGTACCTGGGTAGAATTTGATAACACTCCTTTATTTTCATTGCATTTATTTTGGTTCCAATCCTCTATTTCCCAGTACAAGTGATACTGATTTTCCATCTACAACAGGGGCATCCTGCTTTGCCAAAAAAAAAAAAAATTAAAACTAGAATTGATTTAAATAATTCTATAAAAAATAATAGCATAGGGTGGTGCCTGTGGCTCAAAGGAGTAGAGCACCAACCCCATATGCTGGAGTTGGCAGGTTCATATCCAGCCCTGGCCAAAAACTGCAAATAATAATAATAATAATAATGACAGCATAAGTAGTAGTGAAACATGGCAAAAGCAGTGAAGGTGTTGTCTGCATGAAAAACTATTCACAAATTATGCTATTTCCATTATTAATGACATATAGAAAGATCTTGAATTAATTTCCAAATCATCACAGAAGATTCCATCAAATTATGTTCCATAGAACCTGATTCACTTACTCATGAATTTCTTCATTTATCCATTCAATGAATATTTGGGGCTTCATCTAAGCACTAGTTACTCTAGAGGTTCTTTTAGTATAAAACATGGTCTAAGAGCATAGGATTTTGTGACAGAGGAGCCTGGGTCCAAATCTTGACTGTACTAGGATTAGAGTCCTTTGACTGTGAGCTTGTCATTTAACCTTCATGAGTTTCAACCTCTTTATCTGTAAAATGAAGTTGATGTCTGGCTCTCACTATTGTGGTGAACACTGAACGAGGTGATAGATGTGAAGTGTTTAGGTCTGCGATAGTGGGCCCCCAGCAAACATTAGCTCCTTTCTTTTGTTCTTGGAAAAGTGGTAATTCATATATGGAATGCATGGTGATTCTTTATTAGCCAAGAAAGCCCATCTATTCCTGGACCTGATTTCTCAGGATGTAGTCTAAGTAACTTTTTCTTGCTGTTTGAATGGTCCATGTTGCAATTCTCTTCTAATTCAAGATTTTCTTCCCACTATCCGGTAAGTCTTTGAAGTCAATGAGCAGGTTGAGTTTGCTTTGATATCTCTGGTATTTAGCACATACTAAGTTCCGTTAAGAGTTCTGCAAATACATGGCAGAAAAAGGAAGAAAGAACGATGAGCCTGATCATAGGGACTTCTTTTTTCCTTTCATCAAACTGTGGCTTGCCTGAGATCACATAACTTGGCTTCTTAATTGCCACATGACACAATAGTGACATGTACAAAATTGAGATTTATCAAAAATTACTGACCAGCTTATATCTTGCCTCTACCCCCTCATTTCAGCACATTCATGTGTCCTTCTACAGAGATTCATGGTACAGAGAGGAGTTCACATCCACCAAGCTCCTTGTGTGCAGGATAGGAGCAGGAACAGGGCTACAGGGGAGTACTTCTACCTAAAACAATGTCAAGCACAGCTGTACTTGCAGGGCCAGGTTTCTATATGATTCCATTTTTCAGAATCTGCATTACACTTGTGATAACTCTCTCAGGGTCTCTATAATGGCAAACTTCTTCTTCTTTTTTTTTTTTTTTAGAAGACAGTCTCACTTTATTGCCCTTAGTAGAGTGCTGTGGTGTCACAGCTCACAGCAACCTCCAACTCCTGGGCTTAGGCAATTCTCTTGCCTCAGCCTCCTGAGTAGCTGGGACTACAGGTGCCTGCCACAACGCCTGGCTATTTTTTTGTTGCAGTTTGGCCAGGGCTGGGTTTGAACCCTTCACCCTCAGTATCTGGGGCCAGTGCCCTATTCACTGAGCCACAGGTGCCGTCCTAATAGCAAACTTCTTAATGTAGATCCTTTTAGGATAAAAACCATCTCTAAATACTTGAGTTATTAAGTCTGTTATACCTAAGATAGAACCACCTGATACCAAACCCACCCTTCTCGGGAAGAATAACATTTATTTATTCATTCATCAAAACTGTTATTAACCATCTTCTATGCACCAGGTTCAGAATAACTAGAAGATTAATTGGTTTTTTGGGGTCTAATTTTGCCTCAGTTAAAGCTCCTAAGACACAGAAGACTTTGAGCTTACTTGTTCCATATAAATTGAGGGGTTTAGAAAATGCAAAACACTTTTGGGTTTACTACTTTCACACTGAGAAAACTTGTGGGGAAAAATATTTACTACTATTTTTACTCTTCTCATAATACTTCCTTCTTTTTTTAGACATGACAAAATAGCAAACAGTCAAGGAAATGAGGCTTGCAAGAAAGGCTAGTTGCTGAGTCTAAATGACAACAAGGATTGAATAGAAGCCTTTGGTAGAGACTCTATTAATCTATTTAGCAGATTTATTTACCACACCATGTTTTCTTCTCTTGAGAGAGGGCAAGCCTGTAACTTCCTCTGGAATTCCCCTCAGCTTACTGCAGAACTCCCCTCTGTACTTCCTGGGCCTTTGATAAAAGTCCATTTTCTGATTGCTTTCCTCCTCTGCCTTGTGCAGAGCATGTTCTAGGGGTGGTAGGCATAAAGCACACTACTCTAAGATAGGTGGCATTTCCCTCTAATATTTATAAGAGAAAAGAGCAGTTAGCAAGCATGCATCATGTATCTGAGCAGCTCAGAAAAACTAGAAGATCAATTGTTGTTTGGTCTAATTTTGCACTGGTTAAAGCTTCTAAGACATGCAAAACTTCGAGCTTGATTACCTCGTATACATTGAGGGGGTTAGGAAATGCAAAACACTTCTGAAATCCTAAAACATTCTTAGTTGTTGTAAATTACTGAGGCAATCAAAACACTCTTGCAGACAGTTTTGTGTGAATCACTAAACAGAGGGCCTCAGTTTTAGTTTATGCCAGAATCACCTGGGAGGCAAAACTACAGACCCCACTTTGAGTCTGTTAAAATTAAATTCTTTGGGAGTAAGACCAACAACAATTAGAATAAAATTTCCTGGGAGCTTCTAATGTGCAGACCATTGAGAACCATTAGTTTGACAAATATTTGTATTTGCATTTGCAAACATCATTTACCATCTTGCCATTCAAAGTGTCCTGCTTAACTTCACCTGTGAATTAGGTAGAAATGAAGAATCTCAGGACTACCCTGGATCTAGAGAATCAGGATCTGTGTTTTAACAAGGTCAGAGTGATTTGCATGCATATTAATGTTTGAGAACAAGAGTTAGAATACTGCTCTGCATTTAGACGATTATTGGGAGGTAGAGTAATAGTTAACATCTTTTAACAACTATGGTAAGTCAAACACTAACCCTTACATTACCATCTCAGTTAATGTTCCCAGCAACTCTGCAAAGTAGAAGTTACTATCTACATTTTACAGATGGAGAAACTGAGGCTTAAAGAAGTGACACAATTTGCCCAAGGTCAAAGAGTAGCAGCTCATGGAATTAGAATTCAACTTCATCTCTGTGGCCCTACTGCACATTCATCCCTGTGCTGCTAATACCTCTACAGATAGGACGATGTATCCACTAGTGCGTGTATACTAATGAGATAAACTTTTCTTAGCTTAATGCTAAAGCAAAGACATATGTTTTCTATTCCATGTGCCACATGGTTATTAAATTAACTTCAACTTATCTTTGAACACCTGAAGTTATTAGGCAAAGGGCTTGAAGTTAAAGGGCAAAGGACTTGATGGAAACACAAAAAAACTTCTACACAGCAGGTCCTTTAGCCAGATTAAAGCTGCTAACTTGAGTAATGCTGGAGCTGTTTTGAATATTCTCAGGGGAAGTTTGCTTTTCATTTGCAGCCAGGCGTCAATGGGAGTCAGCACCTGTCACATCTCCAGAAACACAAAACAAATTATTTGCATTGCCTCCCAAGATAGCTTTCCTTTAAGCTCATTTTATATTTTTCCTCTCATTTAACAATAAAAAAGTCTGAGTTTTTTCAGACTATCTACACAACGTACTTGAGAGGTGAGCATGGAGTGGGGCTGCTTTCTACAGCCACCTTCTTCATAAAACTCTGAAGTTTCTGGCTTAGGACAAAATCCTGCTCTGTGTACCTGGCTCATGGTCTGATCAATGGGGGAACATTGCATGGAGACTTGTCTTAGCTTAGAAATTCTTTCCCCAACCTGATTCTTCTCCTTTCTATTACTCAGTGGCCAGCACAAGTTGCTTTGGAGCTGAAGACAGGCTAAGTGGAGTGTCACAGGCTGTGGGCCCTGCCCCAGAGTAATCTCAAACCTCAACATATGCCCTCTGGTTTTCATCCACCTCTAGAGCATGAAGAAAGTGGAAAACTTCATTGAGAAAAGGAAGATTAGAGTTGCTCTTTCCTCTCATACTTGTTAAGGTATGAAAAAATATTTCTGGGTTACAAAATGTCCTTAGGTTTAGAAATAAAAATATAAGAAAATATAAACAATATAGAAATACTAATCAAAGAGATGTGATATTGGCAAAAGGATAGATTAATGGAACAGAATAGACTCATATAAAGATGACTTATTGATTTTTGACAAGATTCAAAGGCCAGCCAATGGAGAAAGGGCAGTTATTGAACAAGTTGGGCTGAGCATCCATATACAAAAATAAATGTACCTCAACCTATACCTTATACCTTATACAAAAATTAACTCAAAATGGATCATAAACCTACATATAAAGTGTGCAGAATAAAATACAGAAGAAAATCTTTTAGATCTTGGGTTAGGGAAAGAGTTTTTAGATATGACACCACAAACATGATCCGTAAGGGTATATTTTGATGAATTAGACATCATCAAAGTTAAAGTATTTTCTCTGTATAAACATAGTTAAGAGAATGAAAATATGGCTTGGCACCTGTAACTCAGTGGTTAGGGCACCAGCCACGTACACCTGGGCTGGTGTTTGAACCTGGCCTGGGCCTGCTAAACAACAATGACAACAACAAGAACAACAACAACAAAAAACAAAACAAAACAAACAAACAAACAAAAATGCCTGTTGGCATTGTGGCGGGCACCTGTAGTCCCAGCTACGTGGGAGGCTGAGGCAAGAGAATCCTTTAAGCCCAAGAGTTGGAGGTTGCTGTGAGCTGTGATGTCAGAGCACTCTACCAAGGGCAACATATTGAGACTCTATCTCAAAAAAAAAAACCAAACAAAAAAAGAGAATGAAAAGAAAGGCCACAGACCCACAGAGAATAGTTGCAAGTAACATATCTGATAAATGACTTGTTTCTGGAATAAAGAACTCTCAAAATTTCACAGTGAAAATAAACATCACAATTAAAAATGGCCAAATGATTTGCCTACACACTTCACCAAAGGAGATATACTGGTGACCAATAAGTACATAAAAATTTACTTAATATCATTATCCATTAGGAAATTGCAAGTTAAAACCACAATGATATAATCTACACACTTATTAGAATGATGTTAAGAAAGAAAAGAATATCACATACTAGAGAAAATGAGGAACAATTGGAACCCCGTATACTGACAGTAGGAATGCAAAAATGGTACTATGGAAAGGTTTGACAGGTTCTTATAAAGTTAAACCTATACCTACTATATGACTTAGCAATCCCATTCCTAGATATTTATCCAAGTGATGTATAACAACTTTACTTATTATCAAACAAAAATGGAAAAACCCAAATGTCTCTTGACTGGGGAATGGATAAATAAAATGTAGTACACATGTAGTGGAATATACTCAACAACAAACATAAATGAACTATTGGTAACCTACAATAATATGGATGAATCTCAAATGTACAAAACAGAGTATCTAATGACTGACCTAATTTATATGACATTCTGGAAAAGTTAAAACTATAAGAACAAAATGTAGATTAGTGGATGCTTGGGCTTATGAGTTAGGAGAGAGTTTTTGTTTGTTTGGCAAGTGATTGTGGTAGTGGTTAAATAACCATGCATTTGTTAAATCTAGTAGATATTTTTACAAAAAAGAATAAATTTTACTGTATATTTCTAGCGCCGTACCGGACTGGGAAGCCCAACAGGAGGGAGAGGAATGTGACTGGGAAAAGATTGGTCTCATACCAGCTAGAAGAAGAGTGGAGAAAACTCTTCAAAAGGTTATCAAGTTCCAAAGGAGGCATTATTTCTCAATCAAGGGTAGAATATTAGCTGATTCCTAAGTGAGGTTTGGACTTGTATCACTGAGGACCTAATTCCCTGTCCCTATCTCTGTCTTACTCTCTTACCTCCTGGTGTTCATCCAAAATAATGCACTCAGGGTCCTCTTACCCTCAAATGGTCTGAGAATTGCTTTCCTTCCTCTACATCCCCTAGTAGAATTCCTCTCTTCAAGTCCAAAGACATGCATCTAAGTTCATTGTTCATTAGACTTTAGGAAGACTGAGTTTTCTAGTCAAGTAATCCGCACTGATGTCTGAATGACCAAGGGCTGCTACTGTTGCTTTTTAAAAGAGGAACTCCCATGACTATCTAATAATAGGCAGAGTGTTTGTGAGACATTATCTTCAGGGTAATGGAGTTCCCCGGCCAATGTCTCTTTACTCTCCTGCCAGAAGGGAAGGGAGAGCTGCTTGGCATCTCACCTTTGAGAAACTCAACCTCTGATCTCTTGTATCTGTTCAGAGGTACGTGGTCTGCTCTTGTCATCACCTTTATCAGATAGTGGTGATAAGCAGATCAATAGCCTCAAGCCCCATTTCCTCAGGGACATTGACATGCACAAGCCACCCTGGGCACTATTCTTTTCCTGGTGCTTGTAATAGCCAGAAATCACATTTCCTCTCAAAGAAAGCCCTCAGCCCGAGGACCGCATTCTCATTATTGGCTTTGACTGAGGGCCACCACCTGCTCCTCTTTCTCAGGCCTCTCCCTTTGTCCTTTCTTACCTGCTGTCTGATGAAGCTGCAATCCCAGGCTCAGCTTTAGCAGTAGGAAAAGCATGTTCTGCACTTGATCTGAAATAGATAATTGAAAGTCTCTTATGCATCTTTGTTGGGTCTCATTACTTTGTTGTTTGCTCACTTTTGAAAACAGAGACATGACAAATCTTTTAGGGGATGTGGTGGAAGGCAGCTGGGAAGAGAAGTTATAGGTTGACGGGAGGGGGAAGAGGAAGTGAGGAACTCTTTATCAACCCAAGTGGGAAGCTCTTCTTCCTTTTCTAACGGGCTTTTCAGTCCTCGTGAATCACGCACACTGGTGTTATCTGTGTCCCCTTGTCTTTCTCTTGACTCCCATAACCTTGTTTGCCAAATGAATAATGCACACCGTCTTCTTTACTGGGACTGGAAGTCCAGGAATTAGATACTCAAACATAGTGCTCAGCAGAAGAGAACTATATTCTTGATAAATACTTACTAGTTGACCGAGCAGGCAAAGTAGTCAAGTTCTCTTTGTGACTGAGGTTGCCTGTCGCTTGAGCTCCCTTTTACTAAAAGGACTAGACAGGGAGGGCAAGGAACTGGCTCTGATGACTGTGCCCCACCTGGATCCTGCTCCACCTTTCCCCTTTGCTTTTTTTATCCATGGACTTTTCATGGTTGAAGCAAAAGGTAGAGGGAAAACCACTGTCAGCTATTCTGCCCTCAAAGAGGCTTTCTAACTTTTATTAGTCGCCGAGCGATTTCTTCAAGGGAAATCTGTGTGAATCATATACCTAAATCAGGTTACGAGCAGAGCTGCTTTGAATGTGATGGAAAGCCAGTGGAGGATTTGGATCAGGAGGATGACATAACCTCATTTACATTTTTAAAAGAGGTCCCAGCTTTGGTGCAGGCAGTAGGCTGTTACTGGGAGGGGGAGTTGGTTGGCAAGACTAGAAGCAGTAAGATCAGTAGAAATGTCTTGGCAAAAATCATCACACCTTACATTAGGGCAGTGGGGCTAGTAGAGGTACAAAGTGGTCTGTTAGAGATTTTAAAGATTTCTTTTTTTGTCCTTTAAAATTATTTTTAAAAAATTTCAACCACTCTTTTGAAGTATAATTGATGTACTAAAGAGGATTGTATATATGCATGTGTATATATTTAAAATACACATTTTAAAAGTATACAATTCAGTGGTTTTTAGTATATTCACAGAGTTGTGTAACCAGCACCACTATCTAATTGTGGAACATTTTCATTACCCCAAAAAGAAACTCTTTACTCCTTAGCAGAAACTCTCTATTTCCCCCTTCCTTCTCCTGCCATCCGCTGGAATGTATGACTCTACTTTCTGTCTTTATCAGTAGCTAATTTTGGACATTTCATATATATGTAATTGTACAATATGTGGCCTTTTGTGACTGGCTTCTTCCACTAACTGTATTGTTGTCAAGGTCATCTGTATTATAGCTGATGTTAGTACTGCATTATTTATGACTAAATAATACTTCATTGTACAACATACAACATTTTGTTCATCCATTCATCAATTGATGGACATTTGTATTGTTTCTGTTTGTTGTTGACTATGAATAATGCTGGTATGAACATTCACGTACAAATTTGTATACATATTTGGGTACGCATGTAGCAGTGGACTTGGTGAGCCAACTGGTGGCTCTACGTTTAACTTTTTGGGAAACTGCCACGTGTTTATCAAATATACAATTTGCAAATGCTATCTCAAATTTTGCACATTATCGTTTCAATTTCTTAACAGAGTCCTGTGAAGCATAAATGTTTTAATGTAATTTAAATTTTATTTAATTCTGAAGTACAAATTTCAATGAAGTCTAATTTTCTATTTTTTCTTTCATTGTTTTGATGTAGGTGCCATATCTAAGAAACCATTGCCTATTCTAAGGTCACAAAGATTTATAACTATGTTTTCTTCTAAGAACTAATATGTTTACTTGTTATATTTAGATTTTTGATCCATTTAGAGTCAATTTTTGTACATGGCATGAAGTAAGGCTCTAATTCCATTCTTTTGCATGTGGACATACAGTTGTCTCTGTACAACATGTTGATAAAACTAATCTTTTTCTATTGAATTTTCTTGGCAACCTTATAAGAAATCAATTGACCATAGATATATGGGCTGATTTTTGGATTCTCTTTTCTATTTCATTGAACTATATATCTGTCCTAGGGCAATACCACACAGTCTTGGTTACTGTAAATTTGTGGTAAGTTTCAAAATCAGAAAATATAAGTCCTCCAACTTTGTTCTTCCTTTTCAATATATATTTTTTGATCAATTCTGGCTGCCTTGCATTTCCATATGAATTTTAGGATCAGATTGTTCATTTCTGTAAAAAAAGGCAACTAGACTTTTGGTAGGTATTACATTGAATACATGGATCCATTTGGGAAATATAGCCATCTTAATAACATTAAGTCTTCTAATTCAGGAATATAGCATCTTTCAATTTATTTAGCTTATGTATTTTTAAAAGAAGACCTGAAAGGAACTGCTGACAGGTTGGCTATAGAGTTTGAGAAAAATAGAGAAATCAGTAAAATTTGGGGCTTGCAACACTACAGCAAAGGAGGTACAATTTATTAAAATGGAGAAGCCTGTAGGGGACACAGATTAGGGAAGGGAAACTAAGAGTTATGTTTTCTATAGCTTTGGTTTGCGATTCCTCTTACACATCCAAGTTGAGATGTTTAGCAGGCAAGTGGACAACAGGTAGTTCGGAGTTTGGGGCAGAGACATAAGTCTGGAAGTCATCAATCTATAAGTATTATTTAAAGCCATGGGCTGCATGGTATTACCCACTGAGCTATAGGAGAAACTGTCCAAGGACTGAGATGTGGGGCATCCCAACATTTATAGATCTTTGTGAGGACAGGATACTGTTGGTGTTCCCTGGACTCCTCTGTTCATTGACACAGAGAAAGGAAACTGCAGACATAATGATTGGTATGAAGGTTCTGCAGGCCTACGCAAGTCCTCAGAGAAAAAGAATTCCATCTTAGAGCCATTTTCCATGGGGAGCACATGAAGCTAAACTGCCATGTCTTAGCATGGGGTACTATACCCCTACAGGATACAGATTGCGAGGAAGGGTAAAATGGCAAACAATAGTGAGTATTAACCACGTATTTTATTTTCTGTTTTCTCATGCTTCACCATTCCAGACCTTGCTGATGCAAAAGGGACTGCCAATCCCAGGTGGTTAGTCTAAGAGACAGTAGAGAACTTCCCCCATGAGCACACCTTTCAAATGCAAACAAACAGAGCCCATATCCCCAACTACCTCCTTCACTGGGAACTTTTATATTCCCAGCCACTATCCACATGCCCTCATCACTGCAGGGCCAAGTACCAGAAAGCTAGGGACAGCTCCTAAACCCCAGAGCCTGCTAAAATTATTCACATTAGCTAATCCTAAATCTGTTTACTCTATCTCACCCATGCCTTCCTGTGGAAACCACAATAAAGGCTCTTGCCCACATCTCCTCACCCCCTGCCACCTGGCTGACCACAGTGCTTCCTGGTGGTGTGGCCCCCTGTGGTGTGGCAGAACCTCTTCTCTTGGAATCTATGAGTATAATGCACTATCTTTCCCATGGCAATCATCTCTTAATCTGTTGGCCTTACTATACTTCATAATTATAGTATCTATATTTTAAAACTTGGGGCTACAAAGAGGGAGCAATTAGTAGAGCCACATGGTCCTAAGAGTTGAATTCAGCAGTGCGGAGGTCAAGCATGATCCTGACATGCACAGTGTCGGTGAACTTGGTACAGGCAAAAAAGCTGAATGGGTTTGAGAGAGAAGTGGGGGGTAAAGATGTGGAGACAAATATAAGCAACTCTTTAGAGAAGAATGCTGTAATAGGGAGAAGGGAAATGAAGTAGTAGATATAGGGCAATGGGAGGTCCTCTGCCAGCTGTTTTACTGTTTTTTGTTTGTTAGTTTTTGAGACAGAGTATCACTGTGTTGCCTTCAATAGACTGCCCTGTGGTCATAGCTCACAGCTACTCTAGCTCCTGAGCTCAAGTGATCCTCTTGTCTCAGCCTCCCGAGTAGCTGGGTCTACAGGCGCCCACCATGGAACACCTTGAGAACCCAATCAAGTGCATTCCACAGGGAAAAGTTCATTGCACAACTTAGCTCAGTGGTTCTCAACCTTCCTAATTGCTGCGTTGTTACAAATGGAAAAAAGGGATCACGACCCACAGGCTGAGAACTCCTGCCTCAGCTGGACCTGAAAATACTCTTTCTAATTGAAATATAAATATACCTAGATAAGGTATCATCTTAAGCTGCACCAACAGGCCATGCCAACAATCCTTTTTCTAGAACACGAAAGGATAGCATACAACATAGTTTTAGCAACAAAAAAAGATTCCTGCATCACTCTCCGTGGGCTTTACCTTCCCCTTCTCTCTCACCCTTCCAAGGAGACTTTCTTGGTACAATGCCTCCTTGAGCAAATTGAGGGACACATACTGTTATAAAGGTAATTTCCACCCAGAAATCTCCTTTCCTCGTCATATTTTTTTCTAGGAAAAAGTATAGTCCATGCAGTTAAGAATTCAGGCTCTGCAATCAGACACATCTAAATTCAAATCCTGGTTCTGCAAATTATTAGCCTCTAGCAGCCTTCCATAATTTACGAAAACTCTTTGTGCCTTTTTTTCCTAAAATGCTAATAATAACACCCACCTTAAGTCACAACCTTGAGGGTCATCTTACACCTATGCATTTCTCATCTTGCATATCTAATCTGTCCCCTAGTCCTATTAATTCAACCTCCTAGATACTTTGTGGATGATGCCCCTTCTTTCTTCCATGTTCCTGCCATTGCCTTAATTCAGCTTCCTGTCATTTGTCCTCATAAACTCCCAAACCTCCTCACTGCTATTTTTTTACCTTCTCTTGCTTCCCTCTGCTCCATCCTCCATTTACTGAGGTGAAGGACACAGACTTTTTTTCTTTAACTTTTTTTCAGTTTTGAACTTTTTCATTTTTTATTGTTGAGGATTCACTGAGGGTACAGAGAACCAGTTACAC